TATATTCACTGTACTAATAATATAAAAATTGTGATTGCATATAATCAGTGCTGTCTAAAAATGTAACGTTTAAACCATGCATATTGCATACCCCGTAAAATCTAAAATGATTCTTTTACGACCACGATCTTTTCCTTATTCGGACTGTAGACATTGTTATTTGTTTTGAATCAATTGATAATCGAATGTCGTGTGTTATATATATACATATATATCTTTATGTATATAGATTGCAATAATATAGTTTTGAAAAAAATTACGCTAAATACTAGTAGGCCTAGTTTTGTTTGCCATTAGGCTATATCATAAAAATACAGTGACACTTACGGTATTTTAGTCACAGTATTTACAGTTCATGTCATTAAATCATACAAATAGTATACATGTTGGCTATTTTTTAAATGTGAAATGATGATAGCACATGTGGCAAAATGGAAGGCCACATAAGCATTGAAGTTCATGATTATTATTTTATCCTGCCATGTTTCCAATAAAAAAGACAAATGCAAAAAACAGCACTGAACTAACAACATAAATGTATTACAAACACCAATCTTATGAAAACAAAAATAAGAATAACTTGGAACTTCAAATAAAATCGAAACAAATATGATGGTGCGCACAAGGAATTTTGGGAATCCCTGTTTCCCGCTAAGCTGACATTTTTATTTCTAAACCACATCATTTTAACAAAAGCCGATTTTACCTTAAAAATAGATATACATAATTAATTATTAAATACAATATATATATATATATTATCCGCAAGTAATGAGCTAAATCATATTTTGCTAACAGCTGTTATATATGCTACTGTAGATTTACACGTGTTGTCTTTTTAAATTTCATAGCATTTTTACATTTTCCTACTTAGTAACGTGTTTAGAGTGCAAGTGGGCCTACTAATTTAATAGGTAGGCCTATACATTCTGAATTGGAACATCACCAACGCAGTCTCGAGACTGTGGGAGGGTGGTTATCATGATCATAAAAGTGACGTCAACG